AAAGGAAATATATGTTTTTAATTATATAGCAATATGTTTTTAATTATATAGCAATATGTTTTGTTTTTATTTAAGCTTCTATCAATATTATTGAAACAGAAAAAAAAACTCACATAGCAAGAACTTACCTTTATAGCTGCAGTGACTCAAGTAACGCCCAACCCGCACGATCGTGCGGGTAACGAAATCCCGATTTCTGCAAGCAAAATTAATAGAATATAATTAATATTTTTTTCATTTTACAGTTATTTAAAGAATTATACAAAAAAAAATGTATCCAAGCAATTAATAATATATTGATAATTATCTTTTTACTTACTTGAATTCAAGCATAACTTTTTGTAAAATTAGAGAAGATAAAAAATAATTTCATAAAAGTTGAAGAAGAAATGACTAGAGTTATAGCATCCCGTCTTTTCAAAAGGAAAAGAAGCAAAGAGTTAAGCTTATAAGGGAACCATTTGATCAATAGATATCGATCCAAATATATTTACATAGCATGACATCGGAAAACAGAGAGCAATGCACTTTGTCTCTCAATAACACCTACAAATGGGCAATAATTAAGATCGAGCATATATTAATTGTATTGTCATTTGCAGTTCTAAAATTTTGCAGTGTGCCTCTTGTACTAAAACATAATTGTATCAGAGATTTTTATAAAATAAGTTAAAATTTAAATTGTTTATTTGTTTTCAGTAATCTTTTTTATTATCAGTGAAACAAGTTGAAGTGCCTTTCAAACATATAAATAAATAATTCTTAAGAGAAATGCTTATTTTACAAATTCTAAAATTTTTCTAAATCTAAAAGCAAAGCATAAATACAATATAAGCTAAATTCAAAGGAAAAATAGACAGAAATTGTTTTAATTAGGTGAACAAAAATAATATCTTGAACAAAAAAATTGAAAAATTACATTAATTTAAAAAAATGTTGAGGCTGAAAATGAATTATGGAAATTTGAAATGTTACTATAAAATTCGCCATTCTTAATTTTTTTTCTTCTTAAAATATAGTAATCTGCTAATAACCAGGAAGTGTATAAAACCTAATTTTGCATTTTTGTTGGTCTGAAAAGGATGCATCATATTTTTTTTTTCTAAATAAGGAAAGTTTCATTTTTAGTTACATCTTTATAAAGCTTATTTATTTAATCACCAACTAATGATACAATTGTTTCAGACATCTCATTTTCTGTAATAATTCTGTTCCTTAAGATCTAGGTAACTAATAATATTCATATTTAGCTTTGTTGAAAAATATAGCCATTAGAAAAAAAAAACTTTATAATGCAGAGTCATACGAAATGCAGTATAAACACATTATTAGAAAGGAAAGTTCCTTTCTTATTGTTTTGTTTACCTGAACTTGAATCAACAATAAATTCCTTGGGAAAAATTTCTTACTAGAAGAAAAGAAATATGAATATCATATTTTTAATGGTTTTGAAATGTTTGGCAATAAAATGATACTCTCTCTCTTTTCTTATAGTCTAAATGTATATTTGTTCTTTTTCCAGCTGCTAAAGAATTTATAATGGTGCATTTACTTGTAAAGTAATTATTATACTGAACGTTATACAATCGTTAAAGAGCGACTGTAATATTTTCTCTGGAGAAACAAATTCAGATTTAAAAAAAATATATTTATTGATAAATAAACACTACCAAATAAGAAAATGCTACTTCACCTTTCCATCCTGTTGAAAAAGTTCCTGCTTTACCTTTTTGGGTATAATTCACGCATCTCGTAATGATTTACTCTAAGCACATTACGCAATATTCTTTGTGTGGGTGTAAGTTCATTTAATATTAAATATTATTTTACCCTTACAAAAATGTTTTATTTCATTCTTTTCCTCCTATTTCTTTTTCTCTCTCCTACTTTTCCTCCTAATTAGTTGATTTCGCATAAGATTTAGGAAATATTTTTTTTTAGAAAAAAAAAAGGAAATAATTAATACATTTCAGTTAAAAATTTTGTTTGCAAGTAGTAATTATATCCTTGATAATGCTATTTATGTTAAACCAGACTTATAAAAAGTATCCCCTTCGTGAGGGGTGGTGCAAATATGCATTCATCACGGACGCACCTCATGGACGTGTGGTGCACACAAATACGCATTTTAGAAAAACACTCTGGTAGGCCGGGTGAATCATATATGACTTTTCAGCTGGAACATTTTTAATGACCACTAGATGGCACCCTATGTCCATTATATTGAAACTGAACATAGCTAGAGTACCCTGATCTTCAGTTTGTTTATATTCTTCCTGGATTTGGCATTTTGCTCAGCAGCTGTGGCGGGGGAAGGGATAATCGAAATGTAAACAAATAGCTCATAAAATATCCACTTGGTATAAAACATTCGCGTTTCTAATAATTCTCCCAATGCTTTTTTATTTTCTTTTTCTTAACAGTGTGGAGAGTTTTAGGGTTTTAGCGTCAGTTCTGTTACAGTTTTTGTTGCTTTCGGATATAATTCACGTGCTTTTCTTATTTCAAAAACCTTGACTTAAGGTTATTATTTTATTGTTTTGAAGGCATTTTCCTAAACTTAATATGAACAAAAAGGGTGAAAAAAGCCAAAGTGTATAGTCACAAACCGTGTGTAAATTAAAAAAAAAGAGCAACAAGCATTTTATGCTTGCAAATCATATAATGTAGGACCTAGCGTTTCTCCAGGCTTCGAGATTTTCCACACTCGTGCTCCATTTTAATTTTTCTATTTCTTTTTGTAAATAATCTTTGTCGTAGTTTTTTTTATTAATGTGGAAGTGTAATAATGTGTTTTTCAATGAAAATTCAAAAAAAAAAAAACTGACAAGTGCTAACGAATTTTTTTTTCCAAGGTAAGTCATATTTTTTTTATATAATTTCATGTAAGTTAAAGGAAAAATGTTATTACATTCTAGTTTTAATGTAACTGGCAACTTGTGTAATAATCTAAAGGATTAGCAAGAAATACGACGTTAAGACTGAAATTTAATTATTTATGCTTAGTTTTCTTAAGTTAGGCTTAGCGACGAAAACGCCCCCACCCCCGTCCTGAAGTGCAAGTCCTTACGCGTTCACCCCGACCCTAGCAAGCGTCTCATAGAAAATCGCCCCGTCCTGAAGAGGGTATTTAAATAATTTCGGCTGAGAAATGACAGGCCTAATTCACATATTGTCTGAGATTTTCTGTCTTTCTGTTGGCCACAATTTCCTTGTTTAGGCGTTTTCCCACCTGAAACTTCAAGATTTGCAGTTAGTAATTTATTTTTCATGGCTGATGTGTTCTTTTTTCACCTAACATCTATATGCTTATGTAGAAATAGATTTCCATATTCCTTTAAACAAAGACGTCTTTTGAAAGGTTTGTATTCATTGTATAATATATTGCCATGCATAGAACCAAGAGAATCATTAATTGCTGCTTGATCAATCGTATCATACAATAAACCCTTAAGCATTATGTTCCACTTTGGTACGTATAAGTAGCAGCTGGTTTATCCTTCGTATCTATTCCATATTTAGTTTCATTATAGATGAAAATTACCTGTGGTGTTTCTTTTTCTTGTCTTGTGAACTTTTTTGGACATGATCCAAATGAGATTGAAGATTCCTACTCTTATTTTTTAAGGGACATATGGGAAAAGATTCGTTCTAGATTCAAAAATCGATCTGATCGGCCGAAATTTTCGCATTGGATAAGCAACCGGATTAATCGGTTTCATTCAGTTCATCATCCCTAAAAACAGACTGATCACTAAGAACAAGAAAAGCTCTCTTGTCTCTTCTTTAGTAAGATCTTTCTTATGATTTGCCATGTTATATTGGACAACAAAACTGGCAAGGTACGTTCAATATACACTATGGACCCAATTCTTATTATTGGTTTGAATTTGCTAGTAACAGACATTTTTTCTGCATCACGTGATCAATGCAACATTAATGTGAGGCAATGGTTGATCAAACATGATACTCATCCCATGTAGCAGACCAATTGGGAAAGTAATACGGTATATACGACTTGATACTGACGTCATTGCTTAGGCATTTCAGCTTAGTAACACTATTTATAGATCATACACTAAAATGGAATCGATTAAAAAGTAGTAAACTCTGATTTTATTTGAATTTCTATGTATGTTAATATGGAGTTTGATTCAACCTAGAAAGTTAGAATAACATTCCTCCCCCCTGGTGATTTTAAAAAAAATATCAACTACTCTTATAGCATTATATATTAAAGGAGTGAATCTTTTTGATGAATATATAACCCTTGAATATACAATCAGAATTAATATCAAAGGAGGATATATTACTACAAATTTATAGAAAATGATTTAAATTAACTCATTTACGGTAGGAGGGTTCATATAAGTAAACAGAGAGAGATAGAGAAGAGAAACTTTAATGTTTTCTGTGAAAAGAAACCTTAATGCCAGAATAGTAAAAAAAAATTAAAAAAGAGTTACTTTTAATTTTTAATTTTGTGAAAATCTTGGTTGATATTAAAACATGTAAAAAACCCAATTAAATGAGTATAATTCTGTAAAGATTAAAATCTAAAATAGAAGTAGTAAAACCTCAAGACAAAAAAAAGTACGAAAAAAGTCCGATTTAATCTTCAATTTCCCTTTTAATTACCCTTGTATAAAATACCTTCTTTGAACAAATAATCTGTTTTCGAAAAGGAGGAACAGGTAGTAAACAAACTGCAATTTAACTGATATATTTGGAGGTTAAAATTAGGGTAAGAGTCCTGGTAACGAAAATAAAATTTAGAAAAAAATTAACTTAACTATTTATCTTTTTGAAGTTATACTTCTTTTGGGGCGTTAGATAAATAGGATGAGGGTAAATTTTTACGATGCGTGTGAACACCGTCACGGATGTGACGCAAACCCGTCAAGGAAGCTAAACGCTTTGTCTAGAAATATACAGAACGGGACAGATCATTCCCACCTTCGAAATTCTCAGAAAAATATTTCTCTTCACTTCCCTGAAGAAGGGGACACCCGGGTTTGAACCGGAAACATCTCGATCTCCAGTTGAATGCTCTACCACTGAGCTATAGCCCTCCGAGTCTGCGAACCTTTGCTTTGCGCTGATTTGTGACGTCACTACTAGTAGGGAAAGATCGTCCTTCGCCTACGGCGCTTTTCTGATGTATTTGTTTGAACACTTTTTGTTATTAAACCAAACATACTTACATGAAATTAAAAAAAAATAATAATAAATTAATCTTTAAATTGTGTTTCATGTACATAAAACATAAGCCAATTTATATGACAATTGCAAGTATATGATTATAGATGTATTTACTACGAACGCATTGCGATGAACATAAACACATTTATTCCAGTATAGCAAATTATAAGAGCCTTTTGTGTGTGTGTGTATTCGTATATTTATTTTTAAAGTTATCCTTCTTTTTGGGCGTTAGGGAAAAAGGATGAGGGTAAATTTTTACGATGCGCGCGCACACCGTTGTCTAATAGTTTAACATGCCGCTTTTTTGGTGCTATGGGACTGATGTTTTGGGGATCATAATAACTATTGTTACAAACCATATCTGTTGGGACGCATTGCCCCCCTTCTAAAGCTTTTTGACCCATATCTCGGCACCCGAGCCTCAAAGTCCATTCGGACCTGGCTCATTCGATCCCTCTCTATCTGCTCTTCCAGTTATTATAGCTTCATGCTCATAGGGCTACTTCGTCCATAGTTTTTAATTGTCTTAAACTCTTTAAATTTGTTTAAATTCACAATATCTTGGGTCTTGTTCGAGTCTGAGACTTGAGATTGGAACCAAGTGTTCTACTCGTCGAGACCCATCCAATCATCTGCTTCATTCCCATTGTGTAGGCAAGGGGGGGGGGGGCCTTAAGCACTATATTATCATGCTCTCATGTTAATCCTATGGGGACTGGAGAAAATTTCACCCTCTAAGGAGTTAAGCTTGGAAATTGATTTTAGGAGGTACACCATATTTTTGTATTAGCGTGAGCTTTAAGTGGAATTGGCACCCTCCCCCTGCAGGGCTTCCCCAGAAATAACTTGAATTCTATGCCACCTTGGTCAACCACACCAGCTAGATCCAATTTTTCTTCTTATGAGCATCCTAGATATATTTTTTCAGGATCACATAGCCCCATTTTTTTAACCATATTTAACATTTTAAAATTATTTTAGTTATAATATTTTTAAATCCCGCATAGCTCCGAGGATTTTTGAGATTCATTAATGAAACT